CTCTTCTGCCTTTTGCATGAGATGTGTTTGCTGCAATCTGTAATGCTGCTGATGCTCCTCCTATTCTCTACGTCTACCGAGCCCTTTGGGAGAAACTTGACTGGCTACAGATCTGCCCCTGTCCACAACATAAATAACTGCTCCATCCTTTGGAATAATTTGTGATCAAATACACAGCACACAGCTATGGGAAGTCAAACCAGGCAGCCCCAAGAGATTCTCAGGTCCTCTGTTTTCAGGGACAGCAAATTCATTCTGCTGCATCAGGTTTTGGTGTTTGGAGAGTTAACAAAAAGAAGAATAAAAACACAATTGCAAGATACTGCTGCAGAAGGTCATTTATCATTTTCAACTTAAGGGAGCTATAGTGTTCTGTCAGCTGTGACTGCTTTAGTCTGGTGAGTTCCAGTCTGCCGAGGCAGGAGCAGTGTGGGTGGCAAGGCACTACTAGCACCACGTTTCTGCAAAGCTGGCAGGACAGATCCAGAGCACCCAGACTCCCAGAGGAATGAACTGAGTGCCTGCTACAGCTGCCAGCGTGTGCAAATGGCACTTCCACTGACAACGTTTCCAGGGGATCTTCTATCATTCTTAACCCATAACCCCTATTTGTAAACATCCCTGCTATGAACATCCAGGAAGGTTCAGCTTACTTTTTCTGTTTTCTCCTGAGGTAAATTTGGCCTGCTCTGTTAGTTTAGATTTGCAATAAATTTAGACTATGGTCACTAGTGACTTTAGAGATGAATCAGGTAGCTGTCTATCCCTACAGGACTTACCTCCACATATATTTCCACTGAGTCTTCTCAGGAAAGGAAGTAAAAATACAAGGCCTCATCTGAATGCCATGCTGTTATTAAATTTAAATTAATTAATTAATCAGCTCGGTGCTAGAGTAAAATTACAGGTATTTACTACTCCAAACACACAGAAAGCAGCAGATGAGATTCATTTGGGACAAGAAGTATTAATTTACTTTAAAAATTGGTAGTTTAAAGTTATTACACAATTCAACAACAACAAAAAAATGGACATATAAAAGCATTTTCAGCTTCTTCTGTGGAAAACATAGTCATCCTAACAGCTTTCATTTTACACAGAACGAGCTGGTGTCGCCAACTTTACAATACAATAAGCCTCTTCCATTTTTTCCTAGACACTTTTCTGGCCCTGTAAAATCTGACTCCATTTTATAAGTGAAACTATTGTGGTTACTTCCCATATCTAAATTTAAATAAATTATAAAAGCCAGGCATTACAATTCTCTAGATAGTTACTGGCATTTCTAAATTGAGTCTGAGATGGGTTTGTTTCTCAGATTGTCTCCAACTGGTGACAAGCATCAAATATGTCTCTTATTGCAAAAGACATCCCATATTCCATAAGAAAATGTACTGCATTGCATTTAAAAAAAGACAGCTCTAAAGATTATCATTAGCATAATTTAACTGTAGTGAAACCATCACAAAGCACTTAAGGCTATCCATAAATGAGCACCTCTTTATTTATCCAGTTCTGAATACAAGGATGAATTCCTTCAGTCGGCATTATTAATACTACAACCATGAAGGGCCACTGTGGACCAGAGAGTGCAATGCGTGGTAACAATACACCAGCATTGTTTGGAAAATACACACGTGTGTACATGTAAATTCACACATATAACATGATGCATTAGGTAGAATGCACTACATTTGGAGAGGTTTGCATATGATTGAGAAAATTAAACTAAAACGGTGTGTCCAAATAAACTGGGGATTCAGTGGCTCCAGTGAGGAAAACAAGTCAATGGTGGACTGCATCGACATCTTCAGGAACAGAACAAAACCACCTTCTTAATTTTAACTGTCATCTGATTTGTAGCCCTGTGAAAAGAGTTGAGGTTGGCACAGATCTAGCACCTGTTTTAAACCTTAGAATCATAGAATCATTAAGGTTGGAAAAGACCTCTAAGATCATCAAGTCCAATCATCAACCCAACACCACCATGCCCTGAAGTGCCATGTCTACACGTTTTTTTGAACACTTCCAGGGATGGTGACTCAACCACTTCCCTGGGCAGCCTGTTTCAATGCTTGGCCACTCTTTCAGTAAAGAAATTTTTCCTAATATACAATCTAAACTTCCCATGGTGCAACTTGAGGCCATTTCCTCTTGTCCTATCACTAGTTACTTGAGAGAAGAGACACCCATCTCATTACAACCTCCTTTCAGGTAGTTGTAGAGAGCGATAAGGTCTCCCATCAGCCTCCTCTTCTCCAGACTCAACAAACCCAGTTCCCCCAGTTGCTCCTCATAAGACTTGTTCTCGAGACCCTTCACCAGCTTCATTGCCCTTCTCTGGACACGTTCCAGCACCTCAATGTCCTTCTTGTAGTGAGGGGCCCAAAACTGAACACAGTACTCAAGGTGTGGCGTCACCAGCACCGAGTACAGGGGAATGATCACTTCCCTGGTCCTGCTGGCCACACTATTTCTGATAAAGGCCAGGATGCTGCTGGTCTTCTTGGCCGTCTGTGCACACTGTTGGCTCATGTTCAGCTGG